TCTCTCTCTCTCTCTCTCTCTCTCTCTCTCTCTCTCTCTCTCTCTCTCTCTCTCTCTCTCTCTCTCTTTTCTAAGACCACAAAGTAATTGCTTCACCTGAATGATGAAAATAATATAACAACAATAAAACATAAAAGATTAAAGACAATCGCAATAACACAAACTTTTACTAAAAAATATGAAGCATTTATAAATATTGATTACGGAAAAATAAAAACATAAAAATTAGATATCTTACAAGAAGTAATGACCTTCAAAGGTTTAGAACAATTAGTTTGTTGTGTGTGTGCTGCACTAGAACTTAAGAGTAAAATACTCTCACTCACTCTCTCTCTCTCTCTTTTTAAAATACCACAAAATAATCGCTTCAGCTACCTTAGGGCTCTGTTCCCGCGCCCACGCGGTATACAATTGGCCAACTGAAAAAGTAATCAAAATTTAGGGAGTTTTTGCACTCAGAAGAATGCGTGGAAAAACCCAAAAATTGAAGTACTCATAGATTTTGTTGTGATCTTTGCAAGAAAATTACTAAATATATTAAAAATAAAACAAAATTATTCTAATTGTGAAATAGATTGCAACTGCAGTTTAACCCATATTTCAATTTTACCATTTAGCCTCTTTCTCTCTCTCTCTCTCTCTCTCTCTCTCTCTCTCTCTCTCTCTCTCTCTCTCTCTTTGTGGTAGCGCCTCCCCCTTCCTCTCTCTCTATCTCTCTTTCTTTCTTTCTCTCAATCATATCAATAAATGGAACAAAACTCTCTTTCTCTCTCTCTCTCTGGTAGCCCCCTCCCTCTCTCTCTATCTCTCTTTCTTTCTCCCTCCCTCTCTCTCTCTCACTCATATCGAACAAAACTCTCTCTCTCTCTCTCTCTCTCTCTCTCTCTCTCTCTCTCTCTCTATATACTGTGCGCACTCTTAGTCTCATTGCTTTGGCTATCTTAGGGCTGCGCGTAGACAATCACTACCTTACCCTTCCCCAACCACGTAACAAACATACTACGGGCTGCGTACCTGTGCCCTCCCGGTAAGCCAATAATCACACCGGACCCGGTTTCCAGGAGCCAAAGCTGGGTAATGGCCGCAGCATCCCTGGGGATGTTGTGGGGTTTTCCGGCCCCAGTTCCTTTGTTATATGCAATAAAAGTGTCTATGGTTCTCCAAAAAAGAAAAAGAAAAAAGGAATACCAGTGCTCCAAATGTCCATTCCGCGGTTTTTTTCCGTGAGATCTGCCCGGCCGCCGTTCCCCCTGTTCCTTGACGTGCCTGTTTTCGAACTCTGGGGTACTTCCTCGCGAGTCATACCATCGACAGGTAACGAATATCGTCACCCGCTCCCCCTCTCCCGAGCCCGCTCCCTCCACCCTCCTCCTCGTCCCAGTCCCCCCCCCCCTTCTTACCTTCCCCCCTCTTTCCTTTCTCCCTCCTCCGTCTATACCACTCCATGAAAACCTGCATCGATCAAACGTGGACTGATGGGAGCGGGATTGATTGCTTGATTGATGGTGGAGAATGTGAAACATATTATTTAATCAAGCAGAGAAATTGATATGGCGAGGGTGGCAAGATCAGGGAAACGGACGCTGGCAGGGTAATGCTGAAAGAAAAAGGAGAAACAGCCTGGGAACTTTGGGTGCGGTGATCGTGGGGGCATAAGAGGAGGAGGAGGAGGAGCAGGCAGTCCGGATGGCGAGGGTAGGAGTTGATGGCACCAACGAAACCGTTAACCCATGTGTGAGGATGAGTTAGCAGAACTCTGGGATCAATCAGCCGCGGCTCAGGCGTTGGGGAGCGAAGATGCTCGATGTTGCTTTGCTCTCCTTTACCGGGTGGCGGGCCCGTTATGGTGTCACGACTGATTTCTCATCAGGAGCGACGACGAAGAAGCTGGCGCGATGATCAGTTGCCGCAGGAGCCAGCCTGTCGAAGTGTACAGGTAGATTTACGCGGCAGGCATTTGTCAGTCTGTTTGCATCGCCTCAATTCGTGGCGTGATGGAAGGTTGGCTGGCTTTTATACATTGAGGGATGGCGAACGGGAGAGGGCAATCCCCACGCCCACGGCGAAGGGCTCTGCTAGTGGACGTGCGTCCTGGCGGAGGGTTGAGGGATGGGCATCGGCCTTGTCTCAAATGCAACGTTATGGGCGGTCTGACTGATGGAAACTTCTTGGTCAGATGCATACATACGATAAACCCTTGGCGTTGTGTTCGAGGGAAGGAGGTGGCGGAGAGGCTCTCTTACATCATGGCATGGCATGTTAGGGCAATAGGGAACAGCCTGTAACGGACATCTGGGCAAATGACACAGTGGGCGTTTATCCACACGGGTGTGGATATGGCCTGGTAACATGTCGGCGAAGAGAAGGGGAGGGGGGACGGGGAGGGGGGGAAGGGGATGGTGTAAGAGAAGATGGATGCGGGGCGACGGAGGAGACTGGGTGAAGGCGCGCGAAGTCTCGTCTGTACTGACATATGGTGGCACATGTGCAGCTCGTTAACTGTGTTGGGGTACCCATGCGTGTGGTCTTTCGCCTTAGCTCCTTCTCTTCTCGTCTTCTTGTGTCCTCTCTTACTGCCCTTTTCTTCTACTCTTCCTTTCTCCTCTCCCTCTTGTCTCCTCTCTTACTGCCTTTCCTTTCCTTTTCCTTTTCTGCTTACTTCCTTTTTTCTTTTACTCTTCTTTTCCGCTTCTTATCCTCCATCGTTCGTCCTCTCTTCTCTCCTCTTCCTGTGAGTGATGTCCTGCCCTGTCTTTTCCTGCTTGTCGTATTCCTAAAACGAGGAAGCAAGCGGCGATTGGCAACGCTCTGCCTGCGCCTCCGCCGTTCCTATGGTAGTGCGGAGCAGCCGCGTTCTCCGGCGTGCGTGGTGAAGGCGGGCGTGCAAAGGGTAGGTTGTCATCGCGTACCAAAGACTTTGGTCCACTACCTCTCCTTGCCTTTTTCGGCAGTGCGTGGAGTTCCTTTTCTGTGGTTCTCAAAAGTGTGTAACCTAACGTGATGGAAGTGTGGCGGGCAGGATGAATAGTTCTAGGTGTGTTCTTTCTATTACCATGACAGCGCCAGAGTAGGAACCCTCTGCCCCTTTATGAGGTCTTGCCTCTGCTGATGTACATATTTCAAATTGTGTGTGTACCATCCGGTCGGCCAATTAGCTATGTACGAACGAGTCGGCCCGGCTACCGCCAATCCGAATGCGCGGGCCTCTGACACATGATGATGAGGCGACCCGACGTGGTATGGAAAGTGGTGCGTGGCCTAGTGTGCTGACGTGTCGTATCGTTACTCATGACCTAAAAGACGAACGTCAGTCTCGTTTGAGGAAAAAATCGATTAAATCAAGCAATCAATGCAGAGGTGATTCCCTCATGTCTCCTTCCGTCCTTAATCCCCCCCATCCCACCCACGCAACCACAACACACCAAAAATACACGCACACAAACGCACGAACTCACAGAAACAAAGAAACAGCAGCATTCCCGCCTTTTCTCATTTGATCACTAAAACGTGTAAAGACGCTATATCACGTCGCTGTCGCTGGGATCAATCAGTTGACGATCGTCGCTTCACCTGTCTGCTAGACCAGTTATTGAACCCGTCGTCGAAAGCATTGAATTGCACAAAGTGAGGGAGGGTCAATTGCGGGAAAAGCTGTCTCATCGATGGTGGAGATATAACGAATAGCACCGGTGAATACTGGATGCTGTATAACTGCAGTAATTGATTTGCACAGGTGCGTTGTCTACCTTGTCTACTATCGGCAGAAACAGTTTCTTCGGGCAGGCGATAGGGGAGCAGGCAAGGGTGGGGTGTACTTTGCGTGCGCGCATTTGAAAAATTGTAATGAATATGTACGGGGAAGCGAGCGAGCGAGCGAGCGAGCGAGCGAGAGAGAGAGAGAGAGAGGTTTGGATGAATGACTGTGTGAAGCCGCGCGGCGGATCTATAGTTAAGGCGCGTTCGCGCTGAAAGTGTGAGGAGTAAATGGGGCTTATGCGAGAGATAGAGATGCAGTTTCCCCGGATGAGCGTGTGTGTGTGTGTGTGTGTGTGAGAGAGAGAGAGAGAGAGAGAGGGAGAGAGAGAGAGAGAGAGGGAGAGAGAGAGAGAGAGAGA